TTCTGTTGAGAGGCTTATTTTATTGCATTTGAATTTTTTGCCTTGTTTGAAATCCCCAAGCAAACAGCTCTCTGCTATGGTCATAGTATCCCAGACTGGTTTGGGTTGGTAGAGACCTTCAAGTCCAACACATTCCACTCCCCTGCCATGGCCAGGGACACCTTCCACTAGATGAGGTTGCTTCAAGCTCTATCCAATGTTTTCTTTACTGTAGTAAAAATCACATGTAGGATGCATAACACACACACGTGGAGTGAGTCGTGCTGGTGGCAGCTGCAGTTTCCTCCTCTCCCACCCACAGCTTTGTTGCACGTGCCCCAGGTCTTGACAAAACAGAATTTTCAGGCTGTGCTCTCTATTTTGAGCAGCATTCTGTGTAGTTTCCCTGGTGAATTATGTGCTTTTCACACACATTATGAAATGGGAAGGAACGCATTTTTAAAAGACCCACCACGCTGTTGCTGAAACTATTTGATTTTTGCCTATTTTTAGCAGAAATTTCTGTCATATCATTATCTCCAGCTCTTGCTGGAGCAGCAGTGTTCAGTGAAGGCACATATTTTTGCATAGGAAAGTCAAGACAGTTTGTCCCACCCGTTATCTGGTGTTAGGCATCTCTGCAAGACAGTTTGTGTTTCCAAGAACTGAACCTTCCCCATGGACAGTCCTTTTTCTTTCTCTGAAAGACTAAGCCACTGGGAATTAAGTAAGTTATGGCATAAGCCATAAATCATTTTTCCAGCCTTGGAAGCAAGGATAAGTTAGATTTTTCACAGAATCACAGGCTGGTTTGAGTTGGAAGGAGCCTTAAAAGTCCATGTCATCCCACCCCCTGCCATGGGTAGGAACACCTTCCACTGTCCCAGTGCTCCAAGCCCCATCCAGCCTGGCCTTGGACACTTCCAGGGATCCAGAGGCAGCCAGAGGCCTCACCACCCTCACAGGCAGGAATTTCTTCCTGATTTCTAATTAACCCTTCCTTCCTTCAGCACAGGTTCAGTTTACTATCACTAAACTTACTGGGTGCCTAAATAAAAGAGACTGAAGTAGGCTGATAGGTAGGAGAGGGTGACAGACTACAGACAACTTGCCTGTTTCATTGAGCCTCTGTAACTCATCATGGAACAGCCCAAATGAGCAGCACTGCCATTTCCAGGAAACTCAGGTGTCGCCACTTAATGAGAACCTTCCAGAGCACAGACACCATAAGTGAGGGATTTATTTAGCATTCTCTTGAGGACTGAAGACTTTCTCAACAGGGAGCTGTTGCAGTGTGTTGAGCTACTCTAAAACCTTTTAGATAAGTCTCTGTGTGTCTGTGCAGCATGGAAAATGAGGATGGTTTGGCTTAGTTTGGGGTTGTCTTCTGATGTCTGCAAGAGCAGAACCCATGGAGCCATGTGGGGATGAAACTGAATTTAACCATCATCTGCTCACTAGATAATTAGGGCAGGGAGGATAGGGCTTGGAGCGACCTGGTCTAGTCGAAGGTGTCCCTGCCAGTGCCAAGGGGTTGGAATGAGATGAGTTTAAGGTCCCTTTAACCCAAAGCATTCCATGATTTTATCATTGAACCATGTATGTTGGGAGCACGGTGAGCAGTGAGCGCTTGCGCACCTTTTAAGTGTGTTTTGTTTCAAGGATTTTGATGCAGGAAAGAGGGATGAGTATGTACAAATTACACCAAGCCCAGGGAGATATTGTGTGTTCCCTACAGCTGTGCCCTTGGCCAGAGAGAAGGATAAGCACTGAGGTTGAGGGGCTCGAGTATCGGGGGGCTGTAGAGTCTTTGGAGGTAGAGCAGGTTCAGGAGGTGCCCCTGCACTGTTTTGCTTTGACATTTCATGTTCAGAGTTTCTGATGCCTTTTGAGAGAAGGTCTGTGGAGCTCCCTCTTCATCACCAAAGCACTGACATTCTTGAGGAGGTCCAGGTCCACCCCTGGGGGCTTCTCCAGTCCAGATGAGGTGGGAGGTTGCTGTGGAAGTATTTAACACCTTTCTCTTCAGGTTGCTTCCAGTTGCCAAAGCCGCCTTATCTGGAGGATATTCTTCAGATTAAAAATCCTTAGATATAAATACATACTTGTACTCTTTTCTGATGAGATTGTTACTCTGAAATCTCTCTCTGGGATCATACCTGAGTTTTGTTGTAGTTTGCTTATTTCTGTAGTGTTTAACACCTTCTCCACGCCAGACTTGTGAAGAGCCTGCCTTTTACAGGCTGTCTGACGTCAAACCTTCAGCCTCTACCAAAGAAAGCCCCTCCAAATGAAGCATTTACAGCAATGTGACAGTTCAGAGCAGAAGGTTAACAGCACTGCTTGACTGCTCATACAATAGCAGAGTATCTTCCTCCAGCATCCAGAGAGCTCCTGAGGTACCTGCTGGCTCAGCAGAATCGCCTTATGGAATAGCAAGGGAAGAAAATTTAATTTAAATAAAAACCTGCTTGTGGTTTGGCTGTGGGCACTGCTTTCTCCAAGGGATGGGTTGAAGAGCAGTGGAGCGGGAACCTCGCTCTTTGTGTCTGCTTTGCTGTGGGCTGGGTTAGAAACAAAACACTGTTTGGCACCTGACTCCTTGCAGGAAAGGCCCTTTTCTTCTGTGTAATCACAGAATCACAGACTGGCTTGGGTTGGAAGGTCTAAAGACCATCTCGTTCCACCCTCTTGCCATGGACAACCTCTCAGTTGTGTTACTTACTTACAAATCTCTTTGCTTTTGATAATGAATGTAGGGGAAATAATTTCTGAGCATAAATTTCCAAGGGAAGGAGCCAGCCGGGAGTCCACACATTGGAGCAGTGCACTCGGGTCTTGCAGCAAGGTGTTTGCTGTACCCAGTGAGTTATTGGTGCTGGCTGCTATGAAGTGTTTATTGAGAAAAACAGGGCTCCTTCTCTGCATCCCCAGCGCTGCCAAGGGGATCTGGATGAGCTGCAGCACGGTTCTCGGGGGAGGGAGGAAAGACAAGGAGATGTTTGCTCATTGCCAGCCAGACCCACCTTCCTGCACCAGGAAAGGTCCCTGACTGCGGCTTTGAAATGTAAACTAGCCAACAAATCTTGTTCCAAGTTGTTGGTGTTTAAAGAGAGAAAAGTACATCCAGAGGAAGTGTTCCTTTGTGGAACTGTCCCTGGGGCTTCCTGCAGCCGGTAAGAGCTGCTCCTCAGCTGTGCCCTCCCCACCGACACAATCTCTGAAGCTTTGGTTCTGCCTTTTTGGTTTGAAGAGCAGCTCATCCAATGTTGTGCGTTTTGATAAGGATTCCTACAAATGTATTTATTCAAAACAAACACAGTGGGAAGCAACAACAAAGCAGGCTGCTGCAACAGCTGGTGCCTGAGGGAGCTGGCTGCTGGTGTGTGATTGTGATGGGACAGGCTTGCAGAACATGCCTTTCATTCTGTGTGTACTGGGGCATTGGGAGCTTTGCCCTTGCTGTTGGCATAGTGGGTTTGGGGTGATGGGTGTTTGGCTGAACAGATGGGTCCCTGGGCTCTTCACTGCCTTGTGGCATCTCCAGGAGTTCTTAGAGAGCTGACCAAAGCACAGATTGGCTTCGTGGTGGCTGGGGTTGCTAACAGGGCCTGCAGCATCTGTGGCAAGGGATTGCAGGAGGAAAGGGAGCAGAAGTAAGAGCTGTAGGGACAAGTCACACATATGCTGCCATTTGCAAAGTGATCGCAAACACATCTGGGCGCATCTGGGTTCAGGCACCCTCTCTGCCTTGTAGCAGTTTCTTCAGTGCAGGTTGGAAGCTGCTGTTTCAGTGGCCTCTGCCACTCCGTTGGGTTTGGAAATAGCCAGAGCAGCTCACAGAGGGGAGATTGTGGGTGGAGAGTAGCTCTGTCTAATGCTTCTGCAGGAGACCATGCTAAAATGAGCCCTGCAGCTCGTCCGCAAGGCTGGCTTGGGGCTGAGTCCAAGTGGAAAAACCCAACAAAAACCCCAGACCAAACCCTGAACCTCAGGAAATTTGTGTTGCTGCAGAAACAAATTCAGGGAAGGTCTGTGATGCTGTGCTGATTTTACCATGGTGTTAGAAATAATATGAAATGTTTGCATTAAATGCAAGGGGAAAGTCCTTTGAAGAGCTGGAAGGGCTTTTCTCCTTCAAGCGCTCTGGTTCTTTTAGCAATCAGGATGAGTTAAATTGAAGTTGATGAATGCAGTAATACATAGGAGGATGTCATCTTGAAATGTTTCTTAATTTTAAGTGTGTATTTTGAGCAAATATTTATACACTGAGGCTCGGGCTGAGGGATTGAGGCATATTGGATTATATGCTGTTTGCTCAGTGTAAGCAGCAACAATTTATTGCTGCAGATACATGTGATATGGTGTGCAAAGATTAGTTCTATCCCCTCTAAAGCATGATTATTTTGGGTCTTCTTTATACCTTAAATAGATATTCTTCTCATGTGATTTCCATCTTTTTGTGTCAACAGCCTAAACAGGCTAAAGTTGAAATAAACATTGCTTCAGCTTAATGGCACAAGCTCTGAGGAAATCTGCTCTCCATTGTAGATGTTGTTTGGAAACCTTTTCATTTGACATTTTTCCAGTGTGCAGTACAAATATCCTATGAATCCCAAAGTCTGCTGGGATTTGTCTGGTACAGAGCAGTGTAATTGCTCAACACTGATAGGTCCTGTTCCCAGCAGTGTGGCTTGGTGTGTTTTAGATCATAGAATCCTAGAATGGTTTAGGTTGGAAGGGACCTTAAAGACTGTCTTCAATGCAAACTATAGCAAAAGGAATGACTTTACTTTTGCTGACTTAGTAGGCTGGAGTCAGCCAGGGTTTCATCCCCTTACAGACCATTTGCTTCAGAGTTGAACGAGATGATCCCTGTGTGTCCCTTCCACTCTGGTTCTGTGACAGGCTGGTGGGGCTGGTGAACATGGCGTGTCTGTGCTCGTGGTTGGTTTGAATAGCTCAGTCAAACATGGGGAGTGGAAACCTCTTGATTGAGCCCTTTTGCTCCTCTCACGCAGCATCATCATGACAACAGAAAAGAGCCCAGCAGCTGACGCTGACAGCTCAGAGCAGCAGCAAGCCAAGGAGGAGGAAGGAGCTGCTGAAACACAGAAGCAAGAGGCTTCCCTGGAGGAAGGGGCTCAGCCAACACCAGAGAGGCAGCCCCAGAGGCAGAAGGCCTCCAACGGAGAAACCCCCACGCACGAGGAGCAGGGCAAGAAAGAACGTCGCGCCTCCGAGGGCCGAGGTCTCTCCCGCCTCTTTTCCTCCTTCCTCAGGAGGCCCAAGTCTCAGGTATCCGAAGAGGACAAGGACACTGATGCTCCTAAAGAGGCGGGAGGTGACCAGAAAGATGCAGGATTAGGAGCCAGCCCTGATGAAGATACCTTGGTGAAAGCCCCGATTGCAGCTCCTGAGCCCGAGCTCAAAACTGACCCATCGCTGGATCTCCATTCCTTGAGCAGTGCAGAAACACAGGTAAAACAGCCCATTCCATGGGACATGCTTTAAAATGTGTCTTTGTAGCCAGAACTGTAACAACTTCATATCCCAGGCTGGTGAGCTTGACCACAAAAGGTCATGGGATGCCAAAAAGGCTCTTGTTAGCTCCCTGTGTTTCATTGTGTACTTCCCACTCTTGCATCCCTGCGTCAGACCTGCAAAGTACCTGTTCTAGGAATTCGGGTCATGGTCCACAGCATAATTTAAAATGCCCTGTGCTGAATCATTGCTCTGCTGTGGCTTAGGATGTCACATCAGAACACAGAGGGTTCACATTCATTGAGTCCAAACCCAGGGTTGATCGTCAGGATGTCCTTGGTGTGAGCAGGATCAAGGCAGGTCAGTGACCCAAGGTGGACGTTGCAGGAATATTTGGATTTGAGAACGGGTTTCTTCAACTTCAAGAAGGCCAAGCACGGCATTTTAGGACTTGGTCATCTGCTTGGTCCGGGCTAGTGCTGAGCCTGCCAAATATAAATATTTTCTGCTTATGCATCATGTAGACAGGGATTTCTGCATGGCACATGCACTGAACCCAGCTCCTGGGACGTGTCTGATGTCTGCTCTTTCCAGCCAGGGTCATTTTTCATGCAAAATTTAAAGTTTTAAAATCTAAAGCAGAAATTGAGGCAGAGACACCCCCAAGGAACATTCACTGAGCAGTGGCTGGTTATTGATTTGGGGGTGCTGGGTGCTCTCTCTTCTTCTTGGGTAGTTACAGCTCTACTATTACTTGAGGCTGAAGTGGAAAAAGGTGGGTATTCCTTATCCTCAGCTGGAAATTTCTTACATCCCAACCAACCTGTGTGTATTGCTGGAGCCAGACAGGGTGAAATCTGGATTTCTTACCCACTACCTTAAGTTCACAGTCACTCCAGACACCCACAAATGCTCAGTTTTGGAGCAATACTTTACGAATTCAGGCATTGCCAGTAGGCAATAATTGTAAATCCACCTCCTTAAAATTACAGTGTTTTAGAGAGGGTAGTAGGTAACAAACAGCTTTTGCTTTCTTTTCCCAAATTTCTGAGTCTGTGAAGACCATGGGAGGATCTCTGCTCATGTTTTATTCCTCTGAGGGTTGGGATTAGCAGGATGGGGAAGAGGTGGAGATCTTCAGGCAATTTCAGCCCAGAAACTGTATTTTCAAGAGGAACTTGTTCTTGGAAGTGTTTAAGGCCAGGCTGCATGGATCTTGGAGCAACATGGTCTAGTGGAAGGTGAGATGAGCTTTAAGATCCCTTCCAACCCAAACCATTCTGGTTTTTTTAATGCATTATTTCTTTCTCTAGTTATCTCTGATTTGCTGGTTCTGAACCCATGTGAATTTGCACCCCAGCCTTTCTTCATGGGTCATTCATTTTAGACGATGCGTTTGTGTCTTTTTTAGTTCTTATTTTAGATGACTGTCAGTGCCTTTCTGAACTGTGACACTCGGCAGATATTTCTGCTGTGAAAGCATTTGCGAGGTGCTGCAGTTTGATAAATGCTGACCGACAGGCATTAGGAGCTTTGACTGATTCCCTGCTCCCAATTGTCCCAGTTCTGCTGGAACAGAAGTCAGCAGCTTGTGGACATTATTTAGTTTTTTAAATACCTCTCTGCACTTGTGCCTGGGTGTGATTTCATGAGATGTGATGGGCTGAACAGACAAGGTTTTGCTCTTCCTCTGCTGCAGCTCTTTTCTCCTGCTGCATTCAGCCCCTTCCAGCATCGTCACAGCCTGCTGTGAACTTGTTTAACCTGCTGAAGTGGCAGAGGAAAAAAAACCCAAACAGCGTCCTTCCTCCTCCTGTCCCCAAACTGCATCTCTTTCTGCTATTTGAGTGGATTAAACTGGCTTGCAAAGTGCTTCCCTAGGCAAAAGGGATGGTGGTGTGGAGGCTGCCTTCCCTTTTTGGTGGCAGAGAGCTTCTCCAATGGCCATGAAGCCTCAGCCCTGACCCTCCTTTTAATGCCGCTGCTACCATAAAATCCCACAATGATTTGGGTTGGAAGGGACCTTAAAGGCCATGTCATCCCACCCCCTGCCATTGGCAGGGACACCTTCCACTGTCCCATGGTGCTCCGAGCCCTGTCCAGCCTGGCCTTGGACATTTCCAGGGATCCAGAGGCAGCCACAGCTGCTCTGGGAAGCCTATGGCAGGGCCTCACCATCCTCATGGGAAGAACTTCTTCCCAATATCCCATCTAGCCTCTGTCAGTTTAAAACAATTCCCCCTTGCCATGCCAAGGGCCAGTGCACTGGAACCACAGCTATGCCAGTGGGAGCACTGGGGGTCCTGTCTGGGAGAGAAAAAACCTTCCCAGTCCAGAAGGTGCAGTCACTAACGCTATGAACGCATGATGTAATCTGCCCTGATTTCTCTAATCAACCCTTACTTCTTTTTTATTACATCATTTACAAAATGAAAACTTGAAAAGCACTTGGAGGAGTTTTAAAAATTAATATCATTCCCTCGGTCACCCCAGTTGCTGCTCCTGATCCTAGGTTACAGGTTGAAATGGGATAATGAATTCTGACTGAGATCCCAGCTCTGTAGTGCTTGTTCCATGTGATGCTTTGTTTGTTTCCTTGTTTGACACCTCTAAATTGGGGGTTTCAGCCTGCTCAAGAAGAGAGGAGGGACGACCAGGAGCCTTTGGGAAGAGACCTCGAGGACAGGGAAGAAGGAGAAGCAAAGGAAGAGGGTGCCAAGCCAGAACTGAAGCCAGAGTCTCTGGAGACTAAAGCAGACAAGGATTTGAAAGCTGCCCAAAAAGTAGTGAAAAGACACAGAAACATGTACTGCAAAGTTGTCTTGCTGGATGACACCATTTTTGAGTGTTCTGTGGATGTAAGTACTTTGGGGGTTTGGTTCTGCTTCTCGTCTCTTCCCTCTCCCTTCTGCTTCTCTTGAAAAATCACCACAAACACAATTTAATAGGAGCCTAATGTGCTGCTAGGGAATTACATGACAGGTTTTACTGCAGAACAAGCCTGCTCTAAGCTATAACAACTTATTTAGTGTGTTGTAAAAACCTCTGGGTACTAGGAATCTTTATTTTATTGTTCTACAATTCCAGGGTGCCTTACTTTATAAAGGTGGGGGGGAAGTTAAAAAAAAAAAAAAAACAAACCCAAACTTTATATTACTTGCTGTTCATGAACTCTCTTATTTGTATCCCAGGCTAGAGTTTAGGTTTTTGGGGTATGTTGCAATTGTCGAAATAACTTTGGCCTCCTTGGCTTTGAATAAAATGGGTTGTATAAACTTGATTTGTGCTTTTCTGGTCCCCCAAGGTACCTTTACCTCTCAGGCTGCTTGTTCACTTAGCTCCTGGTGTTTGGATGTAAAGAAAAACACTCTGTGTTTAGCCTGCTGTTGAATTTATTTCCAGTAAACAATTTAAAATTATGTTGACTTAGAGCACTGCAACCCTCTTCATTTGAGAGCTTTTTTCCTCCTTTATTTTGTGTATTCTCTCACAGGGCTGTGGTGCTGTCAGTGCAATAAAAAGCGAGCAGAAATCCCTATTTTAGTATCAAAGTACTTGTCTGGAATATTAAGAATCTGGTACTTACCATTGGAACATACTTCCACCAGCTTGTTTTCCCTCAGTCCTGCTGGTAAATGGGCCAGGAGTGGGTGTGTGGGCACAGGGCTCCTCGTGGGAGCCGTCACCTTGGGTGATCCTGGGCAAGTAGGTCAGTGCCGAGTGTTTGTGTAATGGTGGCACTGCTGGTGCTGCCTGGGATCAGCTCAGAGCATCACTGCCCCCAGCACCTTCCCCTGGGCCAGGGAGGCCGTGTGCAGCCCCAAGAAATCTCCTCCCCAAGTCCCAGTGACAGCTTGCTGTGGCTTTGTGCCTTTGTTTGCTGCAGCAATGCCTTTGGATACCGTCATGAACGCTGTTGGAGGGAGAGCCAGGGAGAGTCTGATGTGAGCAGGATGTGAGAAATGTCTCTCTGTGGGTCCAGAGTGTTGTGATGGATGCTGCAGAGGTTTAGCGGGGCCACTGTGTGAGACTCTTAACTTGAGAAGCATCCTTGGCTTTAGTGCCAGTGTAATTCTGCTCTGGCGGTTTGAGAGTTTATTAAGATTTAATTGGGAAGGAATTGTGAAGGTGTAGGCAAAAGAGCAGCACAAATGCCTTTATCCAAGGAGAATTAGTGTTTTCAGGCATCCTTTTCGACTGACAGCCCTGGAAGCTTTTTCATTTCTATATCAGTGCCAATTCCTTGAGAAATACCCAGGCTAACACATACATTATGTTACCTATAGAGTCACAATGGGTGCACAAAGGACCTGACAGCTGAAAGGCTGAAATAAAGCCAAGGAATAAAACAAGGCAGGGGTCTTGGAGCAGTTGCCATGCAGAGATGGCTGACAGCAGAGCTGCGGGCATTAGTGAAGCTGATTTTGCGTCACTGGAGCTGCACTTTCTTCTAGCAAAGCCACCAATGGAATGAGCTGCTTCTGGTTGCCATAGTTTTATGCCTCAGGGATGTTTTCCTTCATGCTTTTGGACTAAAACGGTGTTTGTTCCTTGGCCAGTTCACTTCTGCAGGATTTGGGGAAGAGAAAAAGAGGAAATAGGAATGCTCAAAGTGTATTTCTGGAGGTAGGAAGCTGTGTGCTGAGCAGCTTTGGGCACATGAGGCAGATGGGAGAAGCTGGTTTTCATCAGCAGAGAAGAGTGATGGAAAGGCCATGGAAATCATGGGCTTTGGTTTTTTCTGAACATAAGAAAAGTCAGGTTGCCCCTGAAATGAATAGGCTGTAGCAGCAGTTTCATCTCTTGATCAACACCTGAGTCTGGGAGATACCAGCACTGTAGATGTACCTTGGGAGGGAAAACCTGTACGGATCCTTGGTGTCTATTAAGCTCTGTTGGAAACTCCAGCTTTGGGGGATTTTCAGACACGAAGCTGGTGGGAAGAGAGAGACATACTGTGGTTCTTGTTGTCTCCATGGGATTTTTATGTCTGGTTGTCTCTGGAATTTTTATGCCCTTTCCTGTAGGGAGTCCTTGCTCTGAAACAGTCAGGAGGTAAGATTTGGTGCTACTCAGGACCTTTTTTCCCCTTACTGATAGTGCACAGTGTGGTTTGATCCTTTTCCCTTCATCCCCTTTCCTGTAAACAAAGACAGGCAAAACCCAGCTCTGTCCGACGGGATTCCTTTGTCTATTTGCAGAAACACACCAAGGGACAGGATCTACTTAAAAAAGTCTGTGACCACCTCAATCTGCTGGAAGAAGACTACTTTGGTTTGGCCACATGGGACACACCAACCTCCAGGGTAAGCACCGGCTGGTGTTGAGGGGATCCAGCTCTTTCTGCATCATCTCCCCAGGGCAGGAGGTGGGGCAGAAGCTCCTCTGCAAACTTGTTTTGGTGTCCTCCCTAAATATGGATTGTGGGTCATGACACAGGAAGAAATGGTGAATAAATGACTAGAGCAGTGTAGATTTTTGTCAAAAAGCTATGTGAATGAGTCCTAGTTGTTGGAATCCTTAAAGTTAGAGGGTTTTTAGGAAATGGTTAAAAAAGTATAGACAAAAGCATTTGTCTGATCATTCTGAATCCATTCACAAAAGCATTCAAAAATTGAAGGATCTGACAGCCCGAATTAAAGAAGATGGAGGTTCTTGGCTGGATGATTTGTTTCAAAAATGGAGCTTTGCACCTTGGCTAAGGCAACTTTGCAAGATAGGTCTTTACGTATTAGGTGTTCTAATACTGGTATTGATAGTGGTACCTTATATACTCTGTTGTGTTCGGCGAATGATGAGCAAAGCAGTCCGAGAAGTTTTTGTCATTCAAGCCAGAGAATTAGGAAGTAGAAGCACAGAGAGTGTTCGAAATCTCACAAAAGCAGCAGACGAAGGTATAGACATGAACGAAGGTTTTGAATTAAGGCCTTGGAATTGACCAGAGTTTTTCGAACAATGACTTGTGACTGTTGTCAAACGTGATTCATATCTCTTTCAGGGATTGGGCCTTCACAGCATTAAGTTGCTGTGCTGTAATATAGCAATGCTTCAGTTTAGTGCAAATAGATCTTCAACAGATAATAAGCAGAAATTTTGCAATAGAGCTATGAAACGCAAGTAGCAAGCGACAAGAAAATGAAAGCTTCTGGGTCAAACAGAGAGGGGGAAATGTTGGAATCCTTAAAGTTAGAGGGTTTTAATGAAATGGTTAAAAAAGTATAGGCCTCAGACTGAAGTTTTGTTAGCATTGCAGATACAGCAGAAAAGTTTCCCAAGCAGTAGAGCATACGTGACAAATAACAATAGGCCTCTGTAGAATTGGCTTTAGGATGGCAACAAGGTTATTTAATGTATATCTTTAGAAGGTTAGCATGAATAGAGCTCTGTTCTTTGTCTCTTATGAACCAGTCTTTGTTTTAACTACCATTATGTGTGTTTTATAAGATTGGATAGAATGCTTGTCAATATGTGTTGTTCTATGTATGATTGGCTGAAATCTAGACTGAGATGGTTTTATGTCATTCTGTATCACCCCACCTTCTCTGACATTCCCTGTGGATCAGTGAGCTGTTAACATCCTGTCTCCATTGTCTTGAGACTGATGTGCAAATAATAAAAAAGTCTCTTCACTGGTCTGGTTTGTCCAGTGTTGTCCATATCTGGATGTTTTGCCGCGGCAAGTGGGTTCCTTTCTTAAGACGTGGGTTCCTGACACAATTGGACCTATATCTGCCCTTTGTCCCCATACTAGTCAACTTGGGTCTTTACCTGGAGAAAAGTCATTATATTCGTTTACTGCAAAGTGATGTCATTAAGTTATAAAGCTGAAGGAGTCAGGCACTGGTGTCAGCATTGGGAAGGTTTGGTTGGTGCCATCCAGAGCATTTGGAGTTGAGCCTTTGCTCTTCAGAAAAACAGATGTGATTCTATCAAAGCTCCTACTCATGGTTTCAGTTTAAGGTCTTTGATTTGACTCAAGCCGTGTCTTTTGAGACCTTGGTTACCCTTTAACTCAACAATGACTCGAGGTCTATTTCATAAAGTCAAAAGGGAGATAATTGAGATGAAGGGCCCAATGCTGTGTCCTTTAGACCAGTCATGTTGGTCCGTATTCTGACTCTTCCTCTGCTTCACCTTCAACAATCCCCTCTGGCCAGGTTACTGACTGACAGATGTCTGTCATTAAATACTTTATATTGTTTTATACACGGGCAAAATAGCAACCAAAAATAACACTATTTGAGACAGGCAGAACTCCTACTTTGTTTTAAAGTCTCTGGCTTCTTCCAGTTTTCTTGGATGTGAAATGTGTTTCCATGTACATAACCTGGATATTTTTTATATCAGAGTATTTTTTTTTAATCAGCGTTTATTCTTGCAGAGGGAGAGGTAGATGTACTTGTAGATCCAATTAAGAGCAAAAAGAGTGTAACTGGAGCAGCTCACCTTCTTCTGCTGTGGGCAGCTCACTGCTGCATTTGGATGTTAGGAAAAATTCCTTCCTAGAGGGGGTTATCAAGCCCTTGGCACAGGCCGCCCTAGGAAGTGGTGGAATGTCCCTGGAAGTGATCAAAAAGCTGATAGGTGTGGCACCTGCAGATACTGCATCGTGCTAACCTTGGCAGTGCTGGAGTAATGATTGGACTTGATGATCTTAGAGGGCCTTTCCCAAATGCTCCTGTGGTTTCCTAGAGCCTCGGACTTGCTCTTCTTGCCCAGGCTTTTGGCATTGATTCTTCTGGATGCAGAAGCATGTGCCTTCTCCCCCAAACCAACAAGGGCTGAGAGGTTGTGCAGCTTTTTAACTGTAGGGGCTGAAAACAGGTTGTTTTGGCACATCTGTGTCCCAGAGCTGGAAGCTGGGGCAGATGAGGCCACTGTCCATGGGTTGTTCAGCTCCAGTGTGGAGCAAGCTGCTTTGGTTTGCTCTGATGGGTGAAAACACCATCATTTTTTTTTTAATCTTTCTGGTTATGTTTCATTGAACTTGGAAATCTGAAGCTCTCCTGCTGTGACTTCCAACAAGACCTCCCCAGAGTTACTGATTCACAGGTGGAATGGTGTTAATAGGATCCAGAGATGAGCTCCTGCACCTCACCTGCAGCTGTGTAGAGCAGGTGGAGATACAAGTGTATATTCCTGGATAGGGAAGGGTTGTATGTGACATTTTCCACCTTGATATTTAGGGAATAAACTTTCTGAGGACCAGTAATTACCCATATGGGCATAGCAGAGGGTGACAGTGGGATTAGGAGGTTGTGACAGTGGCTGGAGCAGCAAGGAGCTCGTTGCCCTGAAAAGGAGGCTTGTTTCCAGCTGATTCATGACCCAGTGGGATAAAAGTGCTGTTCATTGCTATTCCCATCATTGTCTGCTGGATCAGGCAGGGTGGGATGCATGACTGCACCCTGGGCTCACCCCAGTAACGAGCAGTTGTGGCACCAGCTCAGCCATGGAGATGCTGTGCTCCAAGCTGTGACCCTAAAAAAGACAGCAAACCTTCCTTTCAAACGCATTTTGTATCCCCACTTTTATGTGTTAGAGTAGGCATATAAAAAGAGGAGATTAAATGTAAGTATTGATGCCTCCCTGCCATGAAGTTACGTGTCCTTCTGGTCAGGAGAGATTAGCTTTGGGGATTCAATGAGTTAATTCCTTCACCTCGGGAGACCTGCATGTCCAAATCCTCTTGGGAGCTGGTGAAAATGAAGAGGTGGTTAAATCTAACCTCTCCAGCAGGGTTGCTAGCCCAGTGCCTGCAGCAGGACAGGCCCTGACTCCTGCAAAGGGAAAGGCTCAGACCATGGAAAAAGCAGGAGTTGTGTTTTGAGGCTTAAATTGCACCACCATCCCACAAAACCCCAAATTACAGAGGAGGGGGAAAAAATATATTTCTAAATCTGTAGCAGAGATAATACTAGGAACTTGAGTCATAGTTAAAAGACATGAAGTTTATGTGACACTCCTGTAAAAAATTCCAGTCTTACTCAGGAGTTGGGTGTTTTTACTCATATTTCAGCAATTAGGTCATTGAAAACTATAGCTAATAATAGAAAGTCTTGGTGATCTTTGATCTGAATAGGGTAAGTAAGGAGACAAGGTGCTTAAAATTAATGTATCTGTCCTATTTACCTATTTTTAAGGGTTCTGGAGAAAAGAGGTGTTGTACAAGTGCCCCTGGTAGCTGGATGTGGCTGTGGCCATACCTGTTACTCTGTTCTTGCAGCCCTAAATAATCTGCTTTTTTTCCCCCTCTTGTTACTCCTGCCTCCCTTATGAATCCCTGGTAGGTGAATGGTTGGAAATACACCCACAGAGACCACAGCCTGGAGTGAAAGTAGTGAAGAATGCACCATCTCTTCAGTTTCCATGGCTGCCTTTGTGTCAAATATTGTCCTTTTTTTTTATTTTTTCTATATTTTTAGTAGTTTTCAGCTTTCTGTGGTGTTTCTAGAATGTCTGGTAAACTGTGAATGTTTTTATCCTCTTACAGACGTGGCTGGATCCTGCCAAAGAAATAAAAAAGCAGGTTCATGGTAAGTAGATTTAATTTATCGTATGTGGGGGGGTGTGGTTGGTCCCAATGTGGCTTTGGTGAGCCATCCAGGAGGCCCAAGGATGGAGAGAGGTCAAGTGAGGGTGTCTGGCAAGGATCAGCACAAGTTCAAGCAGTCTGTGCATTCTTTCTGGCCTTCTTAAGATCTTCTTAATCTAGATTTAGGAAAAAATGTCATTTCCTTGGCAAAACAGCTTGAGGTGTGTTTGCCTGAAGCAAAACCACACTGTCAATGCTGTGCTGAAATGGGGATGTGCTCCTTGCTGGAGGATAGCAAAATGGGTGTCAGTGGGAACCACTGAAATCCCAAAGGAGGTTGGGAGACCTCAGGCAGAACTTAATGGTGGAACAAGGTTTTGTGGACTCTGAGGCTGTTTTGGGGTCCAAATAGGGGCACTGGAATGATAAATGGCTTGAAAAATATCAGTTCAAATACCAGCTGCTCTCCCAAGTTGTGTTTTAAGGTCTGCTAGCACTGAATTAGTTCAAAATTAGGGCAGTGTCAGAATTAAATATGTTTTAGAGGCTTTTGTTTTCTCTTGGGAACAAGTCTGACTGCTTTAGAAGTTCTGGGAAGGAAAATACTGGTTTCTGGATCCTTTTGGTGGGAGGCTGAGGACAGAGTGTGTCATTAAATGCAGATTAGGGGGGCAGTGCAAGACTGTGGAGTAGGGAAAGCTCCTGGTCCTGCCATCTTCTCTTGGAATCAGTAGCAGGGTGCATGTGAAGGGCAGGAGCTGCTCCTTCCATAAAATTCATCCAGTGAATGTAATGAATATCACCCTGCTTTGAAATCTGGTCCCCTGGGGATGGGTTAAATGGCAAATTACTTGATTTTACTTGAAGTGAAGGTATTTTGCACGTACATACGAATGTGTGGACACCAGTGTGTGGTGGTTTAGGTAACTTCTGTTCCCTTCACTGTCACCTTGGAATCACGTGTTTTGAACTGTGTGTGATGAAAACAACGTGCCTTGTGTTTAGTCCCAGTTATGGCATTGCATAAGAAGTAAATCCAGAAATGCTCCATTTCCCCTGTTCCCTGTGTGAGATTGGGATAAACTTCCGAGTGAGTTCAGTTCTCTTTCTGAAATAAATCTGATTTTGAACTAGTGTTAAAGGGCACAGCAGGGGGAGATGTAACTATGGAAATCATTCAGGACTAGCTTCTATTGGGAAATGGGATTGTTTTCAAGGAAAAGAGAGTTACCTCTTCAGCTGTGTCATCTAGGCTGTCCATACCACATATCATGTCCATTCTCTGTGTGTTTATGTGAATTCTGACTCAGTTAATGCCTGTAATGGTGCTATACAAGGTTTGCAACAAGGTGTATTTAAGCAATTAGGTCTGGACTTGAAAAGCTCTTCCTATCTTGGTGCTTTCTGTCTTCATCCAGAGGCTGATGCTTGTATTGGGCTAAGTTTGAGCTGTGTCTGAGCACCTGATCCCAGTGCATTAGGCTGAGGAGTGACTTAGCACAGCCTTCCTTGAACTTTGAAGTTTCGGTTAAGCAGTAAACCATTCAATTGGTCAACCAACCAATTAATTAATTTATAGCCTATGCCTGACCTAGCTTCATGAATTCCTTTTCAGTCAATGAAGAAACATGTCAGTCATTAAGCTTCTTAGCAATTAATTTAATTTTTGCCACAAGTTGTGGTTAATCCAGGTGATTTTCCCTGCCTTGCTTTTTTCCTCCTGTTTTTCTTACCTGCTGTAAATGAAACCACATCTTAAACTTAGACAGGTGTTAAGCTGCAGCCAGCTGTGAGAGCAAGCAGTATCGAATCAGTGTTGCACCTGCTAAATTCTGAAGATCAGATTGGCTATTCCCAGCTCTTTTTTGTATCAACTGACCATCACAAAGCCAAACCAGTGTGTTTATTTTTCTCAAGCTCTCTCTTGTCATTGCAGGAGGCCCCTGGGATTTTACCTTCAATGTCAAGTTTTATCCACCAGATCCTGCCCAGCTAACAGAGGACATCACCAGGTGAGTTATCCATGAATCCTACTGCCATGTTCTCCTGGATGTGGAATAGAAATGTTTCATATTTGGGTGCTTTTTCCTCCTTCAGGAAGGACGTCAGATACCTTCACCATTTGGAGGGGGTTTGGTTTGTTTTTAGTGGATGTGATGATGCTCCCACACTCCACTGGAGTCCATGTGTAAAGCAGTGTCATTTATAACTCTGCCATGTGTGTGTTCATATAGGAAAGTAAATTTTCACCTAAAGCCAAGATTTTCTGGTCATAGTGTCCTTTATTCCATTTGTAGAGTGGAAGTGACCTTGAATCCCCCAGTCCTCCATGCTGTTTACCTTGGGAATAAGTAAAACTTGGAAACAAGCATTGTCATATGTTCATCAGTGGCATGAAAAAAGAGACTGATCCTCAAGTTAATACATTTCTCTCTGTTCTCTGTGAATAGCATTTTCCTTTCTGCCCTCAGGTATTACCTGTGTCTGCAGCTCAGACAGGACATCCTGACAGGGCGGCTGCCCTGCTCCTTTGCCACCTTGGCTCTGCTGGGTTCCTACACTGTCCAGTCAGAGTTGGGAGACTATGATCCTGATCTCCATGGCCCAGATTACATCAGTGAATTCAAACTGGCCCCAAACCAGACAAAAGAGCTTGAAGAAAAGGTTGTGGAGCTCCATAAAACATATAGGTAAGGCATGGTGGGTGGAGGACTTGTTTGTGCACAGCAACATGAAATAAGGGAAATAATGGGATTTTCTGGTGTTTTCCCCACCTCTATGAGCTACAGAAAACCTGTGGATGTCCCATGCCTGGAAATATTCAAGGCCTTGTTGGATGGAAGTGGAAGGTGTTCCTGCCTATGGCAGGGGGTGGAACGAGATGGTCTTTGAGGGCGCTTCCAATCCAGACCATTCTGTGATTTTATGATGACTCTGTGAACATTAACTTTTAACAAAAAAATCTAATACTTTGGTCAAAATCTTTCTAGAAGCAGGAACTCTTTTTTCCTGCATGAAGAAGTTATGTTTTTAGAAAGCAGATGGGAAGTCTTGCAATTATTTAGTAACAAGTGCTTTTTTTTCCCCCCACAGAATAGCCATGAAAGTTTAATTCATGTGCAAATGCAAAATTTACTTGTTTTAACCTCGCCCTTTGCGGTTTTTTAATATATTTCTTTGGGATTTATGTAATTTTGGATTGTAGTTTGATCTAGTTTCTCTGTTTACATGCTGTAGCCTACAGCCTGTTTGGGGCATTCTTCTACCACATTTAGTGAGTATCATTCATTTCCTAATGAAGGAAGTGGAAGGATTCCAGGTGATCAAGGAATTACAAACCTGCAGTGTTTCCTACTGCAGCCATGACCTGGGCAGGTGTGTCTGGTTCAGGTAGAGTTGGGCAACTCCTGAGACTCTCCGTGGTTTCAGATTCAAGGGTAAACCTCTTCCTCATCCTATTTTGGGCATATCTTCCTAGAAAGGAAAAGATGGAGCAAAGACAAGACTTTCTGACGGGCAGATGGGAGCAAAAAACTGGAGCACATTGGAAGGGTGGATGTGGGCTGTGGCTGTGACCACTCAACACCTCACTCAAGCCTGCAAGTCAATATTTTAAATTGATTCCCCTCCATTTACACTGAGAGGAGAGGAAATGAGGGAAAATAAGAACCGGGCCTCTGACAAGCTTCATGACTTGGAGCCAAAGGCCGTTTGCTGTGCTAAAAGTGGTGGATCACAATGCTGAATTATTCATGGCCTCATCAGAGGGAGACTTTAATGTATAAGATGTAGTTATATTTAATCTGTCTGCATGTGCAGGAAACGACAACATGTCCCCATTTAATTTCTGGTCTATATTTTGTGAACATTAAACTTCAGAGAGTTTTCAGTGGGAATCATAGAATCATGGAATTGTTTAGGTTGTAAAAGACCTTGAAGACCATGGCGTCCAGCCACTACCCAGCACTACCAAGCCCACCACTAAACTGTCCCCAAGTGTTCTTTGGACATTTACAGGGAAATCTCTGCTAAACGGTGCTCTGGCTCTTGCTGCTGTATTTGCAAAGCACGAGGCACATATCGAGATGGTGACGGCTCCTGGGGCTTTCCTACAGGATTGTCCTTACAGTGGACTCCCTCTGCTAAAACCTCTATTTACATCACACACAAGATGTATGTGAGAGCTCAGTAAGGAAGACATCAAAGGAGGGTAGAAAATGAAATGGATGCAGCTGAATCCTCTCCCAGCAGAGCTGTTAATGTACCTCATACACCAGAAATGTATTAACAGGGACACTTCAATAACGTTGATAATGGCCTCCATTATCAGGATGTCTTTGTTAAATTGTGCCCCTCCTGCAGACAGGGCACCATCTGTTTCCAGAAAACCCCTCATTCATCTGCTCCCCTGGTTGGAATCTCTGCTGAGTGGTTTCAGCTGTCCGTGTGTTTGGTTGGAGAACAATAGCTGGGCCTGGGGAGGTCTGTGGGGAATAGGACCTATCGCCTTTTGCTCTGTTGGGTTTCTTCTGCTGAATCAAGTTTTGTCCCCTCACTGCTCTTCTTCACTTCCTTCTCTAGTGCCCTTACAGCTTCACAGGAATAAAGTCAGCTGTGTTATTGGCTTGCTCAAAGCACAAATTCGGGCAGGAAGAGTGATTTCATAGTTCATTATCTGGGCACAGATTTGTTTGTGTTAAAAGCAAAAGGAAATCTAATGGATTTCATGAAGTCTGATTTGTCTCCTCTTAAAAGCAACAGTTTTGAGAATACCAATCCCTTTCTTTTTCTGCAGATCCATGACTCCTGCCCAAGCAGACCTGGAATTTCTTGAGAATGCAAAAAAACTATCTATGTATGGAGTCGACCTTCACCATGCCAAGGTGAGAACCAGTGTGTGTGGACCTACCCGTGGATTTTATAATTTGATTATCCTTCCCTTGCAGGAGCAAGTTTACCTGTTTTGGGAAGCTGCTTTGGAAAGAGAGGAAGTACAGAAATACTGACATATAACAGGAAAGCCTTAGGCATTTCTGCAAGACAAGTGGTTGTTTGTGGTTTCTTATTATTTATATGTCACAGGAAACTTTCCAAAGCTCCTTGTATAGACAGGTCTTTTCTTTGAGTAACTTAGAATACAATACATATTCCCTGCCATATGAGCCTCTGTGCTCCAGGAAATGCAGGATGGGCTCTTGATGAGCCCTTTGGGCAACCAGCAGAACAGGAGAGATCAGGAGGAGGGAGGAGGTTGTCAGGAAATGAATGAAGGAAAAGGAGGGGTGGCCATGGAAGTGGGAGCTGGAGTCCAGGTGGTGGGGAGATGAATTTATGGAAAGACCAGAGGGATAATTTGGAAGGCAGCTGCTGACGTGAAGCTCATAAACCTGACACTGCTTAAATCCTCATCTGTATTCCCAGGACTTGGAAGGAGTGGATATCACTCTGGGAGTCTGTTCCAGTGGCCTTCTTGTTTACAAAGATAAACTGAGAATCAACCGCTTCCCATGGCCCAAAGTCCTGAAGATTTCCTACAAACGCAGCAGCTTCTTCATAAAGATTCGGCCAGGGGAGGTACGAGGGGCTCCTGTGGGCTCCTGTCATGCTCTGTGTCCTTGGGATGGTCCCGGTGTGTGTCCCTGGCACGGAGCTCTGCAGGAACGTTTGTCATCGGGGTGTCTGATCCCAGCTGAAGCTCCAAGCCAGCTGGTGACAGTGAAACAATGACACATTGTCATCCAGCACCACCTCCTGGCATCACTGGGTATTCCCAGCATCCAGGGAAAGGCATGGCAGGTTGACAGATGAAATTGGGGCAGAACTAACTCATTTTTTGGAAACAGGGCAAGACAATGGCTCTTTGTCTTGCTTGCATTCAAAGAAAATAATTAAACATTAGAATCAGCTTTTCATCTAAGTGCAGGAAGCAGGGAATGGATGCATTGGTGCTGCCTCTCATGAGCAGGGAGAGGCTCTCCCTACATCAGAGGGAGAGGCTACAATGGGGATCCACCTCTTTCCTCTTCTTCCTCCTTCTCCTGCTTTGACTGCCGTGAGCCAGCCTTGCAGGGAGGTCAGTATTTGACCTCAGCTGACAGCTGTGCAGTATGACAGGGGGGATAAACCCACGGCAGGTTGCTCTGCAAATCCCTGTGCATCCTGCGGGATGCCCGGGCTAGTGGCCAAGTCCTCTATTTCCTCTGACCTGAGGTGCTGCTGCACACTGTGGGACAAGTCCAGCAGTTTGTGCCACAGCAGACCAAGGTGGTAGGCTGGGGACTGGGTTCCTACCACAATTATTTCCTGCTGTACTGAAATAACTTATGCTTTCCACAGCAAGAACAGTATGAAAGTACAATTGGGTTCAAGCTACCAAGTTACCGGGCAGCAAAGAAGCTCTGGAAAGTATGTGTTGAACATCACACCTTCTTCAGGTGGGTTTTCTGAACAGTAGCCTCACCCTAAGTAACTTAGTGCTTGAATTTAACTATTAAAAATGAACATCGTTCCTTAGCTTTCTGGAAAAATGGGAGAGTAATGGTTTCAGGGACAGTAAGTGTTTATTTTGCAGAAATTTTTTAAGCAAGTTTTGCTTTGTGAGACACATAAGACAGAGATCTTTGGGTTATGTAGATGTCAGACAGCATTAGTATGTGCATTTCCTTGGCCAAGTGGATGCAAGAGACTCCTTTAATTTCTGTTTTAGTTCTTCTTCACGTGCCCCTTCCTGGCTTTGGAGGTGTGGTTTTTAAATGTGTGTGTCTTTCAGGCTGACTTCCACGGAGGCCATCCCGAAGAGCAGGTTCCTGGCGCTGGGCTCCAAGTTCCGCTACAGCGGCCGCACGCAGGCGCAGACGCGGCAGGCGAGCGCCCTGATCGACCGCCCCGCGCCCCAGTTCGAGCGCACGGCCAGCAAGAGAGCGTCCAGGAGCCTCGATGGAGGTGAGTCAGCCCCTGCTGCGTCTTCTCTCTGCCTTCTGGAGTCACCAGGATGCTGAAGTACTCCTCAAGGAACACCTGGATCCCCTGCTGTACAAAAACACAGGCTTAACTTGTTGCTGTAGAACAAGAGCTTGTTCCTGCCTCTTACATGTTTAGGAATTATGTGCCTGTAGTGAGACTGAATTGGTGCTCAGTTGGTTAGAGCAGGGTGCTGATAACACCACAGGAATGGGTTTGTTCTCCATATTGGCCATTCACTTAATGGTGAAAGTTAGACTCTATGATCCTCGTGGATCCCTTCCAACTCAGAGTATTCTGTGATTCTCTGATTCTGAATTGTACTTGGTGATCCTTGTGGGTCCCTTTCAACTCAGAAAATTCTGATTCATCACACAACCTTCATTCACATCAACAAAACTGCCCAACCAAATGAAAAATTCCCCCAACACAAAACAAAAGTGGACAATTTGCACCTAATCCACCCCTTTCACCATCACCACAATTACAACAAGAATTTCCCATGATCATTCTGCTCTCTAACATTGCTCAGTACTTTTGCCCATTACCTCTCCCAGTTTTTATCCTTATCTCAATATCACAGCACTGTGAGGTCTGTTATGGGTAAATTAACTTCATCTCAGACAGACCCAATACAAAAATGCAAACCCAGGGTGGTCCCAGCAGAACTGACTGATGAACAGAATTTAGGTAGGTCCTGGAGGCTTATAACTAAGTTCTACTTATGAAGATATTTCTTCATTTGATCTCAAAACATTTTCCTTTAGAAAAATCAGGAATTAAGCCATTCTGTTTGTTTCGTTTAATATGACTTCTTAAATTCCATAGTTTTACATGAGGGGGAGATTTTTTGCCAGGATAGAAACTTTTTCAGTGTCTCTTAAAGCGATGCTCAGGTTGGAGTTGAGGTGTGTCAGTCAGATGGGCTCATCCCTGATATTTTTTAAAAGAAATTGATAGCAGCAGAAGAGGTGAGACATGGAAAAGGGAGTGCCTAAGTTGGGTCCACATGATCTATATCACAGAGTATTAAGAGCTAGGGAAAGAGGAGCATCCCTGTGCACTGTGAGGATCCAGGGAAAGAGGAGCATCCCTGTGCACCACGGACACCTGTCTGATGGAGCAGGGACTGTGTTGCTTTCATCCTTCAAGTTTGTTCTGCAGCCTGGGGGAACCAGGGCTGCTCAGCACCCCATGGCCAGCAGCAGCCAGGCTGTCCTTGCTTCTGGGCTCAGTGCCATCCTGAGCCTGGGTTTTATGTTATGGAGCTGGAGGAAAGGGATGGTTCAAGCTCCATAAGGCAGCAAAGCCAAATTGCAGCTTCCCTGCAGTCTGGGCATGCGAAATTCCTCAGGCACGGTGCACAGCAGCGAGGGGACCAGTGCTGCTGCTTGCCCATTGCCCATGCCATTATGACCCCAGATGAGTAGGGAAATCACAGCTGCAGTGCTACACCTGGATGTAGAGATGGGAGAAGAGCAGCCTGGGAATGTGACACTCCTGCCCCCTTGACATCTGTGCCTTTGCCATGCGGGCAGTTGTTAACATGTGCCCCATTTCTTCAGCTAAACGTGCGACTCAAAAAGTTGAGTTCAGAACCCTAGAGGAAGAGAAGCAGAAGGAGGTGGTGGTGGTTGAGGTTCCTGAACCAAAACCTGCGGATCAGATCCGAGAGAAGCCAGGTATAGCTGTGGTGGTGGCTAAAACTCTCTGCAGTGCCTTTCCTATCCTCTACATGCTCGTTCCTGACAATTTCCAATTTTCACCAAATTGGGTGTCTTTCTCTCTTCATTTCTGTGCAAGAAGAGTTTCTCAGTGAGAGGAGACACAGCCTGGCTCTGGAAGACTCCTTAAATTTCTACCTTGCACCTTATTCAACTGCAATTCTTGTGGGGAGGTGGGGAAAAGATTAGGATGTGCTGGCACTTGAGAACTCTCTTGTTAAATGTGGGTAGTTTTGTATATATGGATTTGAAAAACTTAAGTTTTCAAGTCTTGATCTTGAAGCTTCTCATGAAGCTTCAGAAATTCTTCATCCCTGAATGTCCTTGCCATTTTGGGTTGTTTTTCTTTTTTTCTTTTTTTTTTTTTTGTGTTTGAGAAATGCTGCCCATTTTGCTCTGTGGAGCTTATATTTCTCTTACAATAGGTACTATTAATAAATATGAATGTCTTAAGAGGTGTGTAGGTACAAGAGCATGTTTGAATACTCATAAGTGTATCATAGCAGCAGTGTTACAAATATTTGCAGTCTTCATCACTTGCATAGTGACCACCTGTGGTGTGTTAGGGCTGGAGATAATTCACGTGCAAATACTTCGGGTATCCTCCTACCAGCCAGAATTTTTTGACTGCTTTACTGCTTTTGACTGCATGACTGCTTTTCTAGTATCTAGATCAAGTTTTCATGAAGTGTGGCAAGCTTCCTCTCCATGGGCATTCCTTGAATCCTGACTAATCAGCATCTCCTGCTGGGGAAAGCCGGATGCTGTAAAAGCAGAAGGTGGAGAATTTCAGACACCAGGGTAGATTTGAAGTTGATCACTCAAGTACCTTTAATTAAAACTGCTAGATTTTGGATAGCTTTTTTGTCTGGATGTGTTTTTCCTGGATTTTGACAGCCAGCACCTGCCTCCCTCCAGACTTTGCAGGCAGAGCCCTTCTTAATTCCATGCTCAAGAACTGCTCATGTGTCCCATGTTTCCTTTCCTGGGCAAGGAGCCCATAAAGCTTATTTTTGTGTTCTTTCCTCCTCTCATTCAATACACTGTTGGGTCTGACAGCACTAAAAGCACTGACACACAGTTCCATGCTGGAAAATGACTACTGAGCTGCCTGCAAACCTCCCTGCTGTTCCCAGCTACTGAGAAGGATCTCCTCACTCCTTGCTGTGGTGACCATCGTGTGTTTGTGTGGGTCCCCAACCCCCATTAACACCTGCAAACCTCTTTCTAGCCAAACACATTCTTGAAACTTTTGAAATGAAACCCATTGCAGAGGAGGAAGAGGAGGAGAAGGTAGAGGTCATTAAGGTTCCTGTTGCCAAGCCAAAGTCAGTGGAGCTGGTGCAGCCGCGGTCAGGTACAGCTGCAGTGGTGTTTGGTGGCAGTGGCTCCTGTGCTGATGCTGCTGGGTGAAGTGATGCAGTGCTGTAGGACAGAGGTTACACTGGTTGTGGTGGTGTTTGTACTAAAATCACTCCTGGCTTTGCTGTGTGCTGCTTTTCAGGTGTGCTCTGGGTGCAGCGAGCGGGTGCCATGCCCTGGCTGTGTGTGGAAATGTGGGCATCTCTTAGAGCTCCTCCCATACTGTTCCTTCTTGTGAGGTTTGTTCCCCTGAGCAGCAGGAGCGTGCAGTGCCTGGAAATCAGGTTATGAGATCTGGGACTGCTGGAGGTCACCTATATTCCACTTTATTTCTTCACTAGGGAGCTGCTACTTGCCTAGTTGGGGAAGGATGTCAGAGCAACATCACTGCTGCAGACAGATTCATATTAATCATAATTAAAAGTAGAGTTGATTATTTGTTGCAGGAAGAAGAGTTTGAAGCCATAGAGGGAGGTAACTGGGAACATCACATGTTTCCTTGGTTGCTATGAAAACCATTGGAGAACAGTGGTCATGGTCCCAAGGCTGCCAGCATTCCAGGAACATTTGGACAATGCTTTCAGGCACTCGGTGGGATTGTTGAGATGTTCTGTGCAGGACCAGGAATTGGACTCAGTTATCCCTCTGGGTGTTTTCCACCTCAAGAGATTCCGTGGTTCTGTATTCCATGGGATATGTGGCAGCAGATCGGGCATTGGCTGGTGTCAGACCTGAGCGCGTCCAAGGCTCTCCTGCTGTAGCTGCCCCTTCTCATCCACCTCCTGTACTTTGCCTCATCCTGGCTTTTCTGCTCCCAGTAGGGACTGTTGGTGAGGTGATGGCCATGCTGATGATGATCAGTCATAGAACTCTGCAATGGTTTGGGTTGCGAGGGACCTTAAAAATCATCTAGTTCCAACCTATGTTTTATATCTCAGTGCTTTTTACTGTGTTTAAATCATGTGTTAAAATAGTCAAAGGCAGTTAATCATGAAAATGTAACAAAAATACAGTTCTGGCAGCCTAGAACTCATTGTTGGATGGCACAGGAGAAACTTGGTGTCTGTTACTATTTTTCCTGCATGTCTTGATACTCTGGGAGAGCAGCAAGAGAGATGGCCCTGTGGATTTACTGGTGGCAATATTTCCTTTACTGCTTCCTCTTTAAGGTGGCATTTTAACACATCCATAACTTTTTTAGCCAAACGTGATCTTGGCAGTATTGAGATAAGCCCAATTGAAGAGGAGGAGGAGGAAGAAAAAAGGATGGTGGTGAGAGAACTAGAGCCGTTGCCAAAGGAGTCAGGTACCACCGCAATGACAGCTTTGCACTCCCAGCATCCTCCTCATCCCAGCCATCCCTGCCATCTCACCTCTGTGCAACCTTCCCAGCAGCTGTCACTGCTTCTGTGACATGAATGCACTGGGACACAGCACCGAGTGTCCTTTGAAGAGGATAACACAGTGTCTGGGTCACAGAAATGAAATGCTGTGCCAAGGAGCAGGGAGGGAGTGGAGCTGGCAGTGGTGGGGTGGGTTTTAAGGTTGTTTACAACAGGATGTGGTGTCCAGGAGTTTGTCTTGAAAGTGTCATTTCTATCTCTGGAAACTCAGAAATTAAAAAATTATTTTTTAGCCTCCACCTTGTACATTTGGACACCTTATTCTCTCTATGTTTTATTAAGACACAGATGAGATGCTGTTACTTTTTCAGTACAACAGGAATTCTTACTGCAAGGAGTTGCTTGAAATTACAATTTTTATTTTAACAGCAAATTTTCTGTGAGTGACTGGCTGGACATGAGTGACCTCATGTTTGCTGGAATATGATACACAGTATAGTCCTGCTGCAAACTGTGATTTTGGGAATGTGAGATCACTTCAAAGATGTTCTTTTATGTGACAGGGTGTCTTTTTAGTGAAACATCCCTAAAAACCAACATCAGGAGAACCAAATAGTGTATTATATACCTAAGTGCATACAGGAAATTAATTTGGGCTTGCTTTGTCACACAGCTTTGGCTTGACTATTTCCTTGGGGTTGGGCAACTCCCTGGCAAATCAGGAACTGAAGTAGGCAGTTGACTTTGTGTGGACCTAGTGCTTGTAGTCACAACTATCATCCTCTGAAAAGATGTTTTTTGGCAGTATGCTGTTCATTTCTGCACTGTCACTGGCCTGGAAGTGCTGGATATCTTCCCACTGTGCTGCCTTGATGATACCCAGCTCAGACACACAGTCCCAGCCTGACTTGAAACCCACTGGGAAGTTGCCGTGAAGTTTGCTGGAGCAATGCTTGTTGATTTTTGGTGGGGGGGACGGGGGACAGGGATGAAAGCCTGTGTTTTTCTTCCAGAAGCCATCTGTTTCTGTGTGAGGAGATGCCTCTGAGTACAGAGCTCCTTGCGCTGTGTCTTTTCTAGTTGCATTGGAATGGAGTCCGTGTCAGTTGTGTGTAAAGGACCCAGAAATTCATGGCACAATGTCAAAAATAGATTTGCCTTTCTGGTGTGGCTTCTGGTGTGGCAGAGTGCAAGCTTGCTTTTTGTAAACCATCTGGTATGGGGTTTTATTTGATTTTATTTTAAACCATAAGGAAAATAATCTCAACTCTCCTGTACCAAATGCACAAGCTGCTTTGCTCAACATCTTTATTTCTTTTCCCTTTTTTTTCATACTCCTCCTCCTTCTCCCTTTCTTTTTAAATGACAGCACTGTAATTTGGAAAGACTTTGCACGATCCATTGAAAAGTTACCTGCTCTGAACGTTGTCCCTGTCTGTCCCCCATCCTCAGCAGTGGCTGTGATAACCCCAGAGCGGAGTCCCCGGCCTACCTCAGCCCCAGCCATCGCTCAGAGCCACCCTGCAGAACCAGCCCCAGCTAAGTCCAGTGTGAAGGACGTGACCACATCTAAAGTAGGGAAGGAAACAGCAAAATCTGATGTGAGACGTGAAGAATTTCCCCTGGAGAAACCTGAGGAGCCAGTGGACGCCTCAAAGGTAGGCCCGAGCGGAGTCTCTTGGGAAGAGCTGGGCTGGAGCATCGCCCAAGGAAGTCACCCCAAAGCAGCAGCTCTGTTCTGGGAGATGAGGGGTTCATCCCTCAGTGCTGGGTGGGAGCAGGCACAGGGGTCTGAGTGGCAGGGGATCCCAGCTGTGACGTTCAGTGGAAGAAGGAGCTCCAGGGCGGTCGGGTATTGGTGGTTGTAGTCAAAGCGAGTGCAGCCTGCTGATAGATGGTTAAAAACACTGGCAAGAGCTGCATGTGATCATGGAACTAGAGTTCAGAGCTCACCCATGGCCAGACTGTGCCCCCTGATTCCTGGTATGACAGCAGGAGTGAATTCCAGTGAAATCAGTGATAATGGATCTGGTCTGCAGCCCAGTGCCAGAGTGTTTTTCATCTTGATAGGCTTTTGCTGGGAGAGCTGGCAATACAGTGCTGCAAACTGGACTAAAGCTTTAGTTGAAAATGGCACTGGTGAGATCTTGGGGAGTTTATTGTTTAAATTCAGTACTTTTAACCCTTATTTGATCTTTCTACAAATGTCTAAGTTCTTTGCTGGGGTTGATACGTGTGTGCTGTTCTAATAAGTTGAAATAATGTGGAAAATTATTGCTGATATTACAGTGTCCTTAATATTCAGCAGATATTACTGACTTATTGAAACCTTACAGTGGTGCAGTGGAAGTGTTTGTCTTGAGACAGTTTCCACATTACTCCAAAATTTAGCTGTTCTCAGCATTGCTGGAGACACATAATTCTGAACATATCATACAGTGGATCTTGTGTAAGCATCTCCAGGGATGATTCCTATTAATTAAGGTTTGGAGATGGAGGTGAAGAAAGGGCAGTTGCTTCAAAAACTTCCATGGCCTGCATGAACAGTAATTTTTAAATGAAACTGCTGAAGGGAACTTCAGGTTGGCGCTGTGGGGTGGGAGTCAGAGCACAGAGATCCTGCCCTGCTGTTCCTGCCCAGCTGCTCCCCCTCCCTCATGTTACACTGGGAACAAGGAAATTTTACTTATCCCATCTTACTTATTACAGGTTTTTTCCTAAATGCTTAAACATTAGATTTTTTTTCCCCTTTAAACATAGATGTGGGAGGAAAATGTGGATTTGAACATACTAAATTTACTGTTTCTCCAATGGAGCTGCATCACTCTGATGCTTTTGCCTTCAGAGTATGTGGCAATCTAGTTTCCCTGAAATACTTCCCTTAGAGTGTTAAGACAATCTTGGCTCTCTACTTATGGACAGGAAAGAACCTAATTTGTGATGTTAGGCTTGGTTTTGTGGCTATGCCTCTTCTACTGCCTCCTCCAACATAATACCTGCGATACAACCAATAATTTCTGGTTTTGAGGTCTGTGTTAATTTGAGCATGTTGCTTTGTTTGGATTTTCACTGGGAGATCCAGCTGCAAATGCCATTTGAAAACATTGCCTGACCAGCCTACTGCAAGTGGGAAGCCCTTCTTCAGAAGCACTGGGGAGCACTGGTTTCAAATACAAATAATTCTCAAGCTGGAGGAATTATTTAACATGCTGTTGACTAACAAAGTGCTGGGGAGCTGCTGTGTCATTAACCCCTGCCCAGGGCTGCATGTTGGTTTTTGCATGTTCCCCCAGCACTTCAAAACCAACTTTATGCAGCTGTGTTTGAAACTAAATGGTTTCTTGAAACAAATCTACTAACAAGAAATGTTTTTACCAATTTATTTCCTAAATGTAGGTGAGGAAAACACATATTGAGGTCACAGTCCCCACCACGAATGGTGCCCAGCCCCAGGTTTGTGCTAATAATTCAGTTTAGGTTGCTCACTTTTTTTTTTCCCCAAGGTTCAACGTAGTTAAATGAACCAACAACTCTTTTTTTTTTTTTTATCACTGCCCAACAGCAGCAGCCTGCAGAAAAAGAGGAAGAGCTGATAAGAATGAGGAAGGTTAGCCATTTTACCCTTTCACCAAATTTGACATATCATTCATGCATATGTAACTTGTTTAAAAAGACAGTGCTCCAGTTTCTTCATGGGCTTTGGGTTGGGGTGTTGGTTTTCTTTAAACTGTCAAATACTTGATTTGAAAATTAATTTTTGTCCCATAGATAAGCTCATTGCTGAAATTACGCATGTTGAATGTTCAAAAGAAACACACATGTTTTGATTTATGGAATTTCTTCTCAGTAACAAATTTAGTTAGAAACTAAATGTAGCCTGCACTGCAGGAAATGCAAAACAAAAATCAAGAGAAAGCCTCTTGGTATTGATTAAGTAATAGGGAAACACCCAAGGTGGGACAGTGGTTAAGGGGCGGTTGCTGTGCACGTTAAAGTCCCCCCAGGCAGTGCAGCCCCGAGCTCAGGGTGAGCCTGCATTCCTCAGGAGCTGGTGAGGTGACTGAGCCAGGCTTCCACAGAAAACCAGGAATTGTGTCTGTGGCCAGAGCCAAGGCCCCTGGGAGCTGTCTCTTTAAAGGACTCATCTCATCTCCCATTCTCCATGAGCCAGACCCCCATTCCCAGCGGGAATTCCCACCCCATACTGCCACAGCGCTGCACTCCCAAGCTGATTAACTTTTTAATTTGCCGATTTATCAATCCCAGAAGACCAATGTTTTAATTTTTTGTGCTTTTTTTGTTTTGTTTTGTTTCCCCCTTTTCTTTCATTTTCACAGAAGAGATCAAAGAGGCTAGATGGTGAAAACATTTATATCAGGCATAGCAATTTAATGTTGGAGGTTTGTATGAACTTGAAGCTTTTTTTGAGTTGCATTTGCTAAACCTTCTGCATCTGCGCTGAACTTCTTCCTCTTCTGCTGCTGCCCTTGTTTTTGCATGCTCTTGCATGAAAGACCTTTTGATTTGGTTGATTTTTTAATTATGCTTCTGCATGGTGGCAGTAAACATGATGATGTGCAGGCCTTCTTCCTTCTTCCTCTTCTGACTTTCATTCTCTCATACCTCCCCAAAATACATGATTGGCAGTGCTCAGATCTGCTCTGGGACCCACTGGCTGCTCAAGGAATCATGGATTGTAGTGCTGGGCTCATTGACCTGTTTTTCACTGCTTGAAACAAATTATTTTCCTGGAGGAAAAGCCTGTGAAAATATAAAATTCAGGATAAGCTGCTGGTGAAGTTGGGGCAGATTGCCTAGAGCAGCTGTGATTGCCCCTGGATCCCTGGAAGTGTCCCAAGGCCAGGTTGGATGGAGTGTGGAGCAAGCTGGGATAGTGGAAGGTGTCCCTACCCGGGGCAGGGGGAGACTGGGATGGGCTTTAAGTTCCCTTCCATCCCAAACCATTCCAGGATTCTGTGAAATTGTCATCTCTATGATGTCCAGGCCACCACAATGTCCGTGTTCCTTCAGGCAGGAGGGGTCTTTTTGGATGCTGCAGTGGTGTTTGCAGCTTTTCCATCCTCTTCCGGGCCATTTTTGGCCTTGCAGCACCTCATCACCCCTGGGCCCCATCCTGGCTCAGTGCCAGGTCCTTCTGGCTCTGATAGACAGGCTCAGTGGTCACGGGTGGATTATTCTTCCACATTGCAGCTCTTCCCTTTGGATTTGGGAGCCCTTTCCACTTGTTTTCATCTAAGCTCAGTCTCAGAACAGACCATGCCAATCATATATTTTATTTTCTTTAATACACTCTGTTATGGGAGATGTTTTGTGGCTTCTGATACTCTGGTCCTGTGTTACATGTTTCTACTCAAACCTGCAGCACCAGCAGCTCATAGGGTTTCCCTGGTGATATCTCTTGAAAGTGGAGTGTACTAACTGCCTTCTCATCAGAATGTTCAAAGTATTGCAGCTTCTGTGGGGGTTTCTTGGGGTTTTTTGTTTTTTGGGGTTGTTGGAGGTTTTATTGTTTGTTTGTTTTTGATTTTTTTTGTTTTTTGTTTTTTGGTTTTTTTTTACTGCTACAACATTGAGCTTTGAGTGACAAGTGAAGGGTCTGCACATGATAGGCAGAGTTCAGCTGCCACTGGAGCGCTCTGAAGATCACGCCTATTGCTTTTTCACCCAATTCAAACAGCTCCAATTTCCCAACCCCAAACAGAGCTTTGTCATTGCTTCTAACCTCTTTTTTCCCATCAGTGCAATACTTGACTCCCAACCCTTTCCGTCTCCACTCCCCTTCCCACAGTTCTGTTGCAGATGCTCCAGCCCTCCCCTACAATCAGGCTGACCCAGCAGCTCACCCCCTTTATTCCCTTTATTTTTTTTAATCCATGCACTTGGCAGATCAGATATTTTCCTGTCAGACCTCACCTTCCTGAAGCTGCCTGGTGATTTTACTGAAAGCCTTTTAACCCTCCACATGCACCAGCTTCCTGCAGAAAGGGTGAGACAGGAGGGAAAGGCACTGGGCTAGCTGGTTCCTCAAGGTGCTTCCCAGACCCGGCTCCACGTAGCTCCTCGTGGCTTTGGCTCCTCTGCCAGCGCTCCCAGGCCCTGCTCCTGCACAGTGCTGGAAAGCCAGGGTGGTCCTTCTCTCTTCTCTGAGCCAGGAGCAGCTGTAGGCTTCTTGGACCAGGCAGTCTCTTTGCCCCAGAGTCCACAGCAGACTCATTTCTACTTTTTTTCCCTATCTAACAGGCACTTGCCTTATACTTTCATCCAGGGTAGAAGCCAAAATTTGTTATTTTCCCCCCAGAATTGTGCCAAAAAAAGTACATATTGTTAAAGAGGCATTTGGGGTTTAGCCCTGTGGGGAGGGAGGGTGATGTGTCCTCAGTGAGCTGCAGGAATGGAGATTTTTGGGAGGGCCCTCACTTAGGGATGCATTTGTTGTCCCATCTTCTAAAATCGATGGGCTGCGTAACACCTAAAAGCACAAAAAGAGTGAAATTTCCTGGTGATGCTTTTACTGACCTTGATTTCCCCTTTTCTTGCTGCTTTTTGGCCCCGTCCTGAAAAGTTGTTTGCTCTCTGCGAAAGCTTTCTTTTCTATAGCCTCTGGTTTGCTTGCAAGGAAGAACTATTTTTAACAAGTTGACTTGCCTTGAAGTATGTGTGTTTATGCTGTAAACTGGCATCACACAGTAAAAATCTGACTTTCTCCAAATGAAAAATTTTAGCAGGAGTTTCTTGATTGATCCAGCATAAAATAAATTTTCAGTTTGATTTTTTTCCCCAAAAAATTATCTCATCTTTGTTTCTGAAGTCTAAAACTGCCTATGAGGCTCCTGGAGGGATGAGATGAGAGGGAGTGGAAAACTGGTAATGGGATATTCTGGGAACAAAGATAATTTCTGCTAGAAAAAAAGAGAAACAGATATGGACCGAGTAAATAAAATTGAGAAAACATTTTCTTTATCATCAATTGTGTTAATAACTGGAAATACTCAGGCTAGCAGAGGGTAAAGAAAGCAAACCCACAAAATTTAAAGATGTTAAATTAAATAACCCAAAGAAACATAGTTTGGCAACTTTAAAAAATCCTGTTTGGGGAAAATCCATGATATTCCAGCTCAGCTGTCACCTGGTTTTGGTGTAGCTTGAGATGAACCACTGGCAAGTCCCGCCGCAGGACAAGACCCTGTTCTGGGGTTGCAGTTTATCCTAATTTAAAAAGAGGAGGAGAGAGGATGCTCCCTTTGTGTGTTTGCAGTGTGAGCACAGTTTGGGAGGTTGTCAGTAGATCTGCTGAGTGCAGCTTTGCTAAGCACAGCTTAGGCAGTCCCAGCTCTCTCCGTGTCCCTTCACTTATCCTGTCCTTTTGCTGATAGGATCTAGATAAGACCCAGGAGGAAATAAAGAAGCACCATGCCAACATCAGTGAGCTGAAGAAGAACTTCATGGAGTCCGTGCCCGAGCCTCGGCCGAGTGAGTGGGACAAACGTTTGTCCACCCACTCCCCGTTCCGCAGCCTCAACGTCAACGGGCAGATCCCCACGGCAGCGGACGGAGTGAGTACCTGGCACGGCTGTTCCAGGGGCAGCGCTGCACTCTGGGGCTCAGCTCCCCTTGGCTTCCGCTTGTTTTCAGTTTTAATCCTTAGTATTGGCTTGTAACGTGCAGAATGTTCTCTGAGAGAATCGAAGCTTTAGTTGTAGTATTATAAAAATGTGATTTTTTTTGGTAGAGAAGGATGTAAGAATTCCCTAGCTGGTATTGATGCTACTTTTCCTAGTGTTGCTGTCAATGTCAGATGCTAGAGAGCACTTGTCCCATGGCTGGTTTGGGGACTGGGTCATTCCTGGATCTCCCCAAAATGTGGAAAAAACCCTGACAAACCCAATACCCAAAGATCTAAATTATTACTTCAGAGATAACATTGCAGATAACCCAGTGGAGAAGCACTGGGATGGGATGATTTTTCCAAAATCACTTTATTCTCCAGTTAATCTGGTATGTCATTGGGTTTAGACTTGCATTAGGAACTCCAGGTGATGATCTGCTGTGGAGGCTTTGAGAAGACTCCTCGGGTGGCCACAGCAGGGCTGTTCAAACACGATGAGAATCTCCCTTCTTCCAGGAACTGTGTGTTAGTAACCACATATACTCACAGTTTCTCTGCTAATTTCCTTAAAAAGGTAATTTTTCAAGGAAAAACCAGTCACCAGCTGGTTTCTTCTTGGCTAACAGACACCTCTTGTCATACTGGTGGCAACTGGCTCGTATTTGGAGTCTGTGAGTAAAACTGTAGTTAGTGCCTGTGGCAATCAGTCTTTTAAGTGGTAAATGCAATTTTTTATTGCAACAGAAAAATTGCATCCTGACTGCAAGTGGTGGTAATTGAAGACTCTCTTGGTTGAAAGTCCAGTTTTTCCCCTTCCTTCCCACAACCCTGCAGAGGAACTAGTACTTCATGTTCAAACAAGGCGGATACTTATTAATCAGGAAATAATCTTTCAGTAGATGGAGGGTAATTGTAACATGTACAAGGAGTTTAACACCAAGTTTACTACAGGCTTCTCAAAGCTTGGAGTAAAGCCAGGACAGCTAAAGGGCTTTTTGCCTACTAGCAAAATGAGATCTCCAAAATGAACTTACTCAGGGTTGATTGTTACAGAATCTCAGAATGGTTTCGATTGGAAGGGAGCTTAAAGCCCCTCCAGTCCCATCGCTGCTGTGGGCAGGGGCACTTCCTGCTTGTCCCAGGTTCCTCCAAGCCCCATCCAGCCTGACCTCAGACACTTCCAGGGATCCAGGGGCGGCCACTGCTTTTGTGGGCAGCCTGTCATTGGGATTGCCCTGTTCAACACATGGACAGGCTTTACCCTCTGTGGCTGAGCCTCAGCGTAGACTCCTCAGGAGTGTGGGCAGCAGAGCTCTGCTCAGTGCCCAGTGGGTGGGACGGAGCTGAGGCTCTCAAGCTCTACAACTGCAGTTCAAGAATGTTATCCTTGGTTTTTATGAAGAATTTCTTGCAAGGTGACCACACTGAGACCGTGGAGGGCTGCTGGTTACCATAACTGGATGGTGTGGGCTTGTCTCACCTAAGGCGGCAGTGGGTCTGCAGCACTGCAGAATTGGTGTCAGCCCTAGATTTGCATTTCTGGAAGTTCTTTCTTAATCTGGTCCTCTTTGAAATGATCTCACTCTGAGGTTGCTATGTCCTGCTATGAACCTCCAGAAATGCATCTTCTCCAGGCACTGACCGGGGAGAAAGGTTTCCCTCACCTGCATGTGTTGAAGGATCATAAATCAGATGGTAATTAAGGATCGTAAATCATGGTGCAAAGCCATTGCTCCTGTTCATGATGGTGCTTTCACCCTGCCTTAGTGGCTGAAGGGTTTTTTGCCAGGGGCCACTTCTCTGCTATTCCTGTATGTTTTGTTATGAGACAACTGAACCTTAACACGCTTTGTGTGTCCAGGTCAAGAAAGTCACTGTCCCATCTTCTGAGAGACAGGTTGGTGGGCTTGAGGTAAAGCTGCTGCTCTGCTCTGTGCTTCTGAACCAGACTTGCTATTGCAATGGCACCGAGCAAAAACTCAACAGCAGCTGCTGGATAACATTTTTTTTTTTTGGCTACATGAAGTAGTTTCGTAACTCACACCCAGAGGACTTTGGCACTGCTGCAGCTTTTGCAGCTTTCAATTTTTGCTTATTTTGGTGCATGGCTGGTTCGAAAAAGCTGCATGACCAATATAACCGTGTATTCGGGGACAAAAGCAATTCTGAAAATTTAACTGTTCCCTGTTCTTTTTATGTTGTCTTTCTTTCTGGTTTTTTTTTTGTTTGTTTGTTTTGGTTTTTTGGGTTTTTTTGTTTTGTTTTGTTGTTGTTGTTTAATGATCATGTTACTCTTGCATCTTATATTTTATTTTGCTGCCCAGTCTCCCAGCTACTTTCTCCCGAATCCTCACCACTTAGGGGTGTGCAAAGAACCAGTCCCAAAATACCGCACTGACCAGCGGAGGTTGGCTCAGCTGAGGGAGCTTAGAGCCAAGTTTTTCCTGTCCTAAGTACACTTGGGTTTGACCAGGGCTGGCAAACTAAAGGAGTGTAGACTTACTGAACAGCAACATTCCCACAATCTTTCCTTTCTTCAGCAGAAGTGCTGAAGCCCTTGCATGGTCCTGTGTGCTGATTTACTCATTCTGGGTTTTTATCATTCTTTAAACTCCAGAAACAAATATGCTAAAACACAGAGCAAAATTCCAGGAGTATGCTGTGCTCCTACTGCCACCCTGCCCGTTCCATGCGTGGGATTTTTAAGATTTACAGTTTTTCACTTATTCAATAGAATTTTCAAACCAGCCGAAATTTTGATACTCCAGTCAGAACTTTGGAAAAGCGTTTTGTATTTGCTCTTCAGTCTGGCTGTTCCATGGGATTTTCCAAACACTGGGTTTCAAGGGCACTGTAGATTAGGAAGCTGTCAGAGACCGCATTTTGTACTGCACCATTCCTGTTTGAAATGCTTCAAATGTTTTTCTCACCATTCCAGTTCCAAAACACTCTGGAAGATTTTGGGCATCCACTTTTCTGGGAGGGCAGGCATCAAACACCCATGATCCTGGTGCAGATGTTGATGAGCTCTGCAGAGAGAACATGGTTCTATAGCTCCAGGGCTGGTGTGACACAAGCCACCAGCAGCTCTGCTCCCCAGGGCAGTTTATTTTATGTTGAGAAGAGCTGCCCTAATGCTTTGCACATCTCCAAGTGTCATTTTGGGCACTTTCCATCTGTCATTTTTGTTCATCTCTCTCTGTCTTTCTTGATCTTCTACCACGAAAGCAGACACGGGAACGGCCTCTGTTAGTACAGGATGAAGACAAACTAAAAGAGCAGGAGATACCTACTGAGACAGCCTTTCCCCGGCCAGCAAGTGAAGCAACTCTTCCAAAGGTTTCTATTGCAATCCCTGAAGAGCAGAAATCACTCAAAAAGTGTCAGCTGTACTCTAGCGTTTTTCCTTCTCCACGTATTCCCTTTATGATGTCCTTCCTCCTGGTTATAGCACTGACTGTTTGGTGGCTGCTCTTTCTCTGAGTGGCAACAGGGTCATATTGAAACCTCAAGACCAAAGCTCCTGAATTTCTGGGCTGTAGTCTCTGCTGCATCTTCTTTGTCCTGGTTTCTGATCTCCGTAGTTGGCTGTCCTGGGAGGGACACCCGTGACTGTCGTGTTAATCCTGCTGTGTGTCCTTGTGTGGCTGTGATGGGACCTAGCAGGAGTGCTCCTGGATTGCCAGGTCCATTCTGAAGTTTCCTGTGGTGCAAAAGCAAATTCTTTGAATTGTGTTCCCATCTGCTGTGGGAGAGCCTATGGGTGGAGGAAGTCCTGAGAGGAGAGTCTGGTTTCCCAAGCCCCTGAAGACTTCCCATAGGAATTGCTGGAGAATTGCTTTTAAGCTTGTTGTTTTAAATGTAAGATATTCACAAGCTAAAGAACATTTGACACTGATTTAAAATATGCTTTACAGGAATCTGCTGAGTCACAGAATGCTGGAATGGTTTGGGGTTGGAAGGGCCCATAAAGATCATCTTGTTCCCCTTCTGCTATGGTCAGGGAACCTTCCCCTGGACCAGGTTGTTCCAAGTCCCATCCAACCTGGCCTTGAACAATCCAGGCATGGGAATCCACAACCTCTGTGGGCAACAAGAGGTTGACTCTCTAGGAAGAACATTGGAATCCAGTCCATAAACACTAAATTTCTAGGAATCTCGGATTGGCACTTAAATAAAAAGTACTGGTTCTCACTGCTGCTCTTGGTAATAAGTTAGGGACAGGGTCTGCCTTTCATTTTCTAGTGGGGGAAGCCTGTGACAAAGTATCCCAGCTTCCCTCTCCAGCACTATTCTCACATCCAAGAAAATACATAGTGTTACAGGAGAAAACTCATTGCAAGGAGATATTTATTGTAAACATAGATTAATATTTTTTTTTTTATCTGAAGGATTTTGTGCACTTGGAATGTGTTTTGTTTAATTTGTGTAGAACTAACTGATGCATGTTTGCTTAGGTCACAGAGATGGAGTTACCTGTTGTTTGAACATTCCCTCTGTTGGCAAGTTGGCTTGGCCACATCAGGACACACTTCTAATGTTAAAGCCCTCGATTGTTTTTGACTTCTTTAACCAAACTGTTGCATGCCGCTCGTTGTTTATTGCCTACAATGTGTCTAGAGGATGCTCACATTTATCCAAGTTATCCTGCCTGAGCTGTGCAGGCTCCAGCCCAGCTAGACTGAGCAGAGCTGGTTTGTGAACTGAAGGGAAGGTGGGACTTTGTGTCTGAGGGGTTTCTTTTCTGTAAATAGTAACAATGGGGCTGAGCTGAGCCCCCCATTTCTCCTTTCAGCACCAATCTGTGTTCTCCTGTGTCCACTGGAGGACTGGCCTGGACACAGTCACTCTGAGAACACCCCCCAGTGTCACCAGTGGTGGCAGCTGCTCCAGCAGCATGGAAGAGAAAGGAGCAGGCCTTTATTACATGGACTAAAATGTGTGAATATATATAAATACCTGTATTTATAACCCTTTCTAGATCTGTATCTGTGTGAACAGTATTATTTAGGAAGCTGGCAGATAAACTGGAAGGAATAAGGTAAACATGGCATGTGCTGTCTGGTCTGAGGGTCCGTGGGGTATCATGGGCCACTCGAGCCACCTCTTGCTCTTGAGGTACAGGTTGAGGTTCTAAATGCTGTCTCAGAAACTTAGGTTGCTAGTGAAATCCTTTGTTTTAATCCCACAGGAATCCTTCCAATTCCTCTTGTAACCTGCTCCGATTAGTTCACCAGTTTGTGCCTTTAGGACTTTGTTTTGTGAGGATGCCGATTTTTCATTGGAAAATATTCCTCCCTTTTTAATACACTGCCTTTAATATACAGTCTTCCTCCTTTGGCACTAGGAAATGTAGAAGTCTGAGGCTTGTTGTCCAGGTGTAGTCTGGTGTGAAGGAGGGTGCTGGCAGGCTGTGTCCTTGAATCCTTGGAGCATCCCTAGGAATGCTCCAAGGAAAGCAGCACTTGGACTTCAGCAGATCTGATGTGGAGTTTAGGAAGATGGAGGTGGGCCCTGGAGAGGAGAGGTGAGGGAGGATGCTGGGATGCCGTGTGCTGTACAGAAAATGCAGGCTGGAAGAAGTCAACTTGTGGTTGGCATTCCCTGCCTGCATCGCCTTCCCAGAGTGGTAACTGTTGTGATGAAGAACAGGGATTGTTCTCCCCAGCCTCGTGTGAAGAGGGAAGAAACAGGAGTTGTTTGGATCTCTCTGTCCATTTTCTGTCCATATTTCCTGGAGTTTGAACACAGGTGCTTCCTTCCCAAAGCCATTGCTCGGGATCGCTGCCTGGGATGCTGCAGTGAGCACTGCTGAGTTTCCTGCATTTCTGATCCCGTGACAAGAACTTGGAAGCCACACTGGTGGCTTTGGCAAAGCCATGGTTTCTGTAGCTCTGTCACCCATTTTCAAAGGACCTGAATTCTAAAATTTTTTGTCCAGATCAACCTTAGGCCAGAGTGCTCAGGGTGTCTCATCTCAGCGGGATAAGAGATAGGCTCTGTCACCTCTACTCAATTCTTTAACTCTTTATTTCAAGTGGTCTCTTTCTCTCTCTTTAAATCTTGAGATAAGGCTGGTTGTCATCAGCAAAAAACCTTGGAAACTTTACACTCTGAGAATGCTCAGGAACATTTTTGCAATTTATATACCAGTTATCACTGCAGAGTAAAAGAAATTGAACAAATGCTTTCTGTGTTTCTGGCAGTTTAGAGGCCAGTTATCCATATTCATCCAGGTAGATCTGATCCCTCCTGAGAGAGGAGGCCTGGAACTTAGCAGGAGCAGAAACCTCATCTGTCCAGTGCCCCAGGGATGTGCCCACTGGGCTACAGACCCTTTCCCAGGCGCTCTTCTGCTTTTTTCCCTGTTTGATTGTGATGCAAAGGGAGTGACAGTCCATGGCAATCCACGTAAGGTCTCATTCTTGTACATTCTGTATCCCGTTTGTGCACATTCCATATTTTTACACCTTGGTGCTCTGGTTTCCCCCTTTTCCCATGATGTCAGCACAGGATGCAGCACCGAGAGGAGGATTTTGTGAGTCCTGCTGTCATCCCTGTGCACAGGGAGAGCTGATTGGCTCTAGTGCTGTTTAAAGGCTGAGATCTCAGGGGATCTATAAAAGAACCAATACATGAACTTCATTCCTATTTTCCTCAGGAACAAACTTGCTGGGAGCCCCAGCAACTCCTGCCTGCCTGCCCCGACACTGGCACCCGTTGACACAGGGATTCACACACACTGTTCAGCCAGGCTGATGCAGTGCCAGGCTATGAGTGATGGAGAGCTGAGTTATCCCTCCTGCAAGGAAGCTGTAAGTGTCTGCAGCATGTAACCTCATCCAGGTTGGCATGAGAAATCCTGATTTTTCAAGGTGACCTGCTGCAGAAAATGTC